GGTCCCATTACTGTCCGAAGAAGCTTGTCGATTCGGTCCAGGTCAGCATTCATCAGTTTCGTCATGTGGCTTTCTGGGTGAAGTTTTAGCGCTGAGCGAGTGTCAATGGTCAATTCAGCGTAGGCAGTCAGGTTTGTCGTATGTCTGATGTAATTGTACGAGTCCCATAAAACCACGTCACCATTCGTAATCGGTAAGTAGTCTGGGTGTGAGTAATCCACAATCTTACAAACTGTGCAGGTCGAGGTCAAGCTAAGCATAAAGAGCAGAGGTCTGAAAAGAGGAGGAAAGACAGTTTCAAAGGAGATCGTAAGAATTAAAAATATTTTATTCGACTATCGGAGATTATCCTTATGAACCCTGACCGTAGAACCCAGGTTCTCCTGGACTATGCCCTCCACATATAAGGGGGTAAGTTTGTTTCCCAACCGTCTATTTGACTTAATTTGGACTGTTTCTCCAATTGCAAATGTTCTCGCTATCCTGTTTTTGTTATGAGTTCTTAACATTGCTTCTTGAGCCTTTTCTACCTTATTTTTTGCTTCTGTCCCACCTACCCGGAAATGAAAAACATCCAAGGGTTTTTCACCAGTTACGGAGTGAATGCTCTTATTGTATTGAATTGTGGCCAGTAACATTAAGTCCACAGTATCTTAAATTCCTTTTTCTAGTTTAAGGCATCTAGCTATTTCCCCCATAGTGCTATGAAATCTCTCCACCTGCCCATTAGAAGTAYTATGCAGAGGAGGAGCATTCACAATTTGAATGTCGAAAAAGTCTCTAAGGCACGATCTTATTGTATTTGAGTTTAATGATTTTTCATTATCGCAGAAAATAATTTTGGTTCCTGTGAACATATTGACCAGTTGCAGAATACGCGGCTTAAAATTGATTATGGTTCGTGAAGATATTGGTTGCCCTACTGCAAACTTGGATAGCTTGTCCACACAAGTAAGGAAATATGTGGCATTAGTACAGAATATGTCAATATGGAGAAATTCACCGGGAAAAGATGGAATGCGTGCTTTTCCTATGGGATGCTTTACTGGATGTCTGACATATTTAGCTTTAATGCAGACTTTACAATTCGACGCCACCTCCTTAGCTTTTTTCTCCATTCTCGGAAAAAATAATCTTCACGAATTTGTTTAACATTTTCCTGAGAGGCACGATGGGCTCTATTATGTTCTTGCGTAATTATTTCAATTTGTTCGTTAGGATGAAAAATGTCCGTGACAAATTTAGTTGTGTGACGGACTCTTGTATTTTTGAAAGTACTCCTTAGCCAGTTTTGGATTTGCGCCAGCAGAGGTAGCTCGCAGTGAATGCCGTTGACTACGTCGGGTTTTACCACTTCTGATAGCATTTTAAACAAACTCTCATTATCAGGAAACGTGAGAAAATGGCGTAACTTATTTCCAAAAATAACAAATGTCTTTTTGATCGGATGTAAGCCAGATTCCAAAATTAGTTGGTTTTTATAAACATTTACTGGTCTTGAAACTGTTTCCACCGTATAAGTAAGAGACTGTTCGCTATGAATAGTGGCAGCATCCGATTCAGGTCCTGGATCTAGTGCGTTTATAAACTGGCGTGATAAAGCATCAGCTACCAGATTATCTTTTCCTGGTTTATAGTGCAGTTTGGCATTATATCCTTCAATGAAAGCTTTMCATCGCTTTGTGAAAAAATTATCACATCATCAATATAAACAAAGCAGTACTTGCCAATGTGTTCCCTAAGAACGTCGTCTATTGCCCTCTGAAAAATGCCAGGTGTATTCTTAAGGCCAAAGGGAAGACGGMAGAATTCAYACTTCCCATTACACACAGAGAAAGCGGTTTTTTCACGATCACATTCGGCGAGCTCAATTTGATGAAACCCCGACTTAAGGTCCAAGGTTGTGAAGAGGTGGGCTTTTCCCAAGTTTGATAATATTACCCCTACGTTTGGTATTGGATATGGGTCTTCAATGGTTTTCTCGTTCAATTTTCGAAAATCAATTACTAATCTTTTCTTTTAACTCCGTTCTCATCGAAACCCTTTTTGTCTACCACCCAAATGGGATTGTTGTATGGCGATCGCGAACGTCGGATAATATCATTTTGGAGGAGATCCTCTATTTCTGTTTTTACAAAATCAACGACTCCCAGTGGGTATGGGTAGAACTTTGCGTAAGTCGGCTCATTATCCCTAGTACGGATTGTGGCCACAATATTAGTGTTGTATGGTACTTTCTCGTTTGGGTCAGCAAAAACTCCTGAAACGCGCTCTAACATACTATTAAATTCACCTTTTATGCTCACCGGGACTGACTCGGTATGGAGCTGAAGATGGCTAATATCTTGACCCTGGAGGAAATGAATAATTTCATTACCAGAGTTGTACTCGACAACTTTGCTTTTGAAATTAATATTTGCTTGAACCTTGTTCAGCAAGTCCAAACCTACTATTCCATCAAAGAGAGTTAGATTTGGCAGGACGAAAAATTCAGATACCACTCCAAACAAGTGTACCTTGCATTTTTTTCCAATATTGGTGACTCCATGAATGGATTTCACCGTGAATTCCTTATCAACAGGCTTCACTCCTTTTAAGCCCTCTAGCGGCCTGATGTAGTTTTTGGAGGCACCCGTGTCGACAAGAAACTTTACCTCCCGCCCACCTAGTGACTTAGAAATCCAGGGCAGGAGGGACTTACCTCTAAAAAATTCACTTCTTCTGCCTCTAGGTCCTCAACAACTGGCTCAAATAACTCCTCGTAAGAGTCTGAGCTGAACTCGGTATTTCGATCTTCCTTCAAATTGTTTACCCTTTGCAGTTTTGGTCCTGTTCGACGGTCCGACGCTGCCTGACGCTTTTGATCACCGTCGTCTCTTACGTTACTTTTAAATTGCCGTAGGTGAGAATGTGAAGGATCCACATCCATCGGTTCCCCTCGCGGCTGAGAGTTTCGATATCCTGTTTGACGGTTCTGCTGAAAATTTTGTTGGCGGTATTGGCCATACCCCGGTGCTGCCTTACGAAATGAGGATTTTTCTGATTATCCGAATTTGTTCTGTTTAGCATGTTTTGATTATTGTTATCTTTTCCCCATTTGCTGCTCTATTTGCAATGCTTGCTACGAAAATGTAACGTTCGTGATTCGCATCGACTTCCTGAGCGAGTGCCAGAGCGGATGGCAAGTCACTAGGTTGCGATGCGAAGAGAATATCGCAAAGGGGCCTCCTTAACCCAGAAATTGCAGCGCCTGCAATACTTTCTTCATGAGACATTCTGGTTTTATTAGCAAGTAAGGAGAGTTTTTTCTCAACCTCATCATAAAATTCGAGCATAGTCGAAGAGCCCTGCCTCAACGTCGACAATTCCTGCTCAACTAAGTACATCGGGGCTATAATAGCGTTAAAATTTAAGACAGTGCTAAATGACGATAAAAGCGTATCGGCAGCGCCTCGAATTTTATTTCTTATAATGGTAACGGCTTGGTAGTGCCGTCAGCTACCATCGTAGTCCTTAAAAATCTCATATGCGTTATGTGCCGCCTCACGTCAGGACACATAACCTTCGGGTTGACCGGAAAATTCGGGTAGAGACTTTACAACGTCCAGCGATTCTTCGCAGGTTCTATCCGCTACTATCTTAATTTTTTCGTAAGTCGTTATAGTGGGTTTTTGGGATAAGTTATCAATTCGGTCCTGCATGACCTTAAGCCTATTCTCAAACTCCCGCCTCTGCACCCCTAAAGCAGCAGTGACCGCCGCGTTAACTATCTGTGTAAGCTGGGTTTCGTTCATTTTGACTTCCTCTTCTTCTGATAATTTAATATTTTCAAAGCTAGAGACTAAGTCAATTAAGTTGACGGTTAATCATTGAAAAAGTTATTACTATTTCCACAAAATAAATACAGTGTGCACCGTAAACTATTAGAGTTTAAATTTCACTTTCTTAATATATTTTATTTTTTAACAAGAGGTACCTTCAATGTTTAGATCTTTGATTCTAAAATTGAAATTCGAGTTTCTCAACTTACATTAAATTCATGATTGTCCTGATCCGCCAATGGAATAGCTGCTGCTCGTTTACGATAGCTGGTTGATTGCAGTTGCTGGCTGGTCCTTGATTCGATCGACTTTCAGCGGCATAATCCTGATTGTTTGTGGCAGCTGGTTGATTGTAGGTKTTCGTTTTTAACCGACACCGACAAACTACTTTGCTTAAACACAGCCCCACGTTGGGCGCCAATTATTCAAAATGCCACCTTTATTTTTATTAATTTTATTTCAAGCATTCGAGTGGAGCACGTCCAGCTTAAACTAAAATTATTCTAATTATAAACTACCCTCAAGCTATCTGTCGCTGTTGCTGCCGCCGCTGCTGSGTAGCAGTAGTGTTGTTGCGAGTATTGGSAGACGTGAGAACGTATAATTGCTGACTCAGTCCACGCGCAACTTTTGGATGCAACTTGAAACTTGTTATTTCCGTTCATGATTCTGAGTGCGCTACTTGTTGCTGACTCAGGACACGCTCAATATTTTGGGGCTCCTTCAATTACATTCTTGCGTCGCGTGATAACTAATACAAGCACTATACAATTGAGTTTTTCAATAAAAAATTCATATTTTTGTTTTAATAACAAGTAAGAAAATTATTTATTTGTTTATTGGTTATTTATATTATTTTTATACTTCATTTCAATTTTTAATTTCCTTATTCTTTCATTCTGCTCCAACTCCTTTTTTTGAGTTGGTAATCGTTTTCGATCTTCTTCTTTTCATTTTCATGTTTGTTTGCTTCAACGTGCTTCATCCAATTGAATTTTTCTATTTCAAATTGAAGCTATTTTTCTCGAAAGCTCATTCTTTCAGCTTCTAATATTGCCAGTTTATCAATGGCAGTGTTTTGGTGTTTGGCCTTAATTTTTCCAAACGCGCTGCCCGCAGATGAGCCAGATGCCAATTCAGTTAAGTCATTTTCTTCCTGCGCCCCTCCGTAGAAAAAATAACCGCTACTTGCTTGTAATGCGGACAACTTTTAAGCACTTTATCTGTAATAAAGCAAATCAATTTAATTCCAAAATTGATATTAAAATATATATAAAATCTACCCATCACAGTCAGCTCCACATCGCTATCCTCTACTCCAGCGCCCTTGGAATTTAGCCAGTATTCAGCCGATTTCATTTAGCTTTTTAAATAGCGAATGTTACATTTTAAGATGTTCCAATTTGCTTCAATTTTTGTCACTGCAAGCAACTTACTGTAGTAGATTTTCGCTGCTGGTTTCTGAAATTAAAGAGATGTAATTAAATCAAAATAAATAACTAATATGTCGAAAACTAACGTCGACGTTTCGGTGATCCTGCATATATTACAGCACGGTTTTGATTTCGTCCATTTTTTCACCTCCTTTTCTCGCCGGCGCTTTCGTATTTCTGTAGACACTAAAATTAGAGTATAAATAAATGACAAAAAGTGTATTTTTATTTTGTACTTTGTGATTCTTACTTTCTTTGATGACTTTTGATAATTTTTGATGATTTTTGAATGCTTTGTGATGCTTTTCGACGCATTTTATTTCGGTTTTAATTTGCTGATTGTAAACAAAAAACAGCTGTTAATAGCAGATTTTCAAATAAGAAAATCTAAATGGAAATGCCATTCGCTTAGTTTTATTTATTTTTTGTGCTGCCATTTAGTAAAATTCCAATGACTTTTTAACACTGGAAATAAGCAAACAACCACATAATCTGTAAACAAGGGTCTAGGTTGGTCAACTTTGGTTATTTTGTCATACCGCATTTTGTTGTTGTTTACTTAATCACATAACCCGATAACCACCTTATCGTGAACAGCCTAATTATATATACATATATGTACATACATATATTTGTATACACTTCCGAAGGAATAATGCACAAGCATGCATACATATGTACATATGCGTACACATTTGAATATTTTAAGCATTGTTCTACAAAAACAACAATTGCTCAAATAGCAGAAGCATTAAAAGTCAATTTCGCAGCCGAATTGGCGAGGCCCAAATGTAGTAAATTTTACAACAAAAACGATTTCATTCATAAACGCAGGCGCAAATTCTAAAAGCGACCTCGCTTCATTCATAAAAACAGACGCCGTAACCCACATGTATTGTAAAATAATAAAAATATTTTAAACAATATTAACTTTTTATTTATTTAATAATAGAAAAATTTGTTTTCTTATCGGTCACCACGCTCAAAAAGAAAAATAAATACTGCATGAATAAAATAAATAAATAATTATAATTGCATAAGTTGATACAAAATGCTATGCAATAGCTTTACCGCGGCAGTCCCCGAGTGTCACACGTCTCTCAACAATGTCTGACTTTTCCAGCGATAACTTAAGAAATAGTATTATAAATAGCATTTTTTTTTTATTCAACGAATAGAAAATAATTTTGTATCATGAGTACTTATACCAGCACCAGTCAAAATGACTGCTTCCAGTTGAAATGTAAAAACATGCTGCGATTTGCTTACCGATCACGAATCAAGAAGATTACTCGTTTTGTATAACTACAAAGTGCTTCTTAGAACTTTTTAGAATTTCTTACAATTTTGTGTCATTCAGTGTAATGATGATAATTATCTCGAAAAATCTTGATCGGTTTTAATTCTAATGCAAAACCTAATGAATTCATGCCAAAATTTTCGAATATATGGATCTGGAGACGTTGAATGTGTTGTGATAATAGAATAGTTATATAATATATAATAAACGGCATTTTTTCAATTAGTATAAGGTGAGGAAAATTATTTCAAATATAATCTTTATGTTAGGATTATTTGTGATTTTAGTTTTATAAGCCCTGAAAATGACAAAATGTTTGAAAATATCGGAAATTTTGGAAAATCTGAACGATATAGCAATGGAATTCTCTGATATTGAAGATGATGAACTCTATGACAGTGATCAAGAAATTGAAAATGCAGTATGCGGTACCCAAGAAGAAATTTTTAAGAGTGAAAATAGTGACAATAAACTCTTGGACAAAGAAAATATTCAGGACTCCTCAGAAAGTGACAGTGAATTTGAAAATATTTTGAATTCTCGTAAAATCAGATGTATGCAAGAGCGTTCTAGTTCTGAAGAWGAAAATGAAAGTATACGACAAGATAATCAAAGTGAAATTACTGCGGACGGAAATGTTGGGAAAAAACACAAGAATCGTATTTTCCAGGAAGATTAGCACTTCAGAATATCTTCAAAGACTTATCCGGTCCATTGTACGCTTGATCTTGCAAAGAATAAGAAGAATCTCGAGTTTTGGGTAAAAAATGGAACCTAACAGCAACAAAATTTACAGCTTTCATTAGAGTTTTATATGGACGGGGAGCATACGAAGAAAACAATTTAAAACTTTCATATCTATGGAACGAAAATGGGGATCAAACTTCTTTGCAAACACCATGAGTAGAAATGACTTTACGGCAATATTGAGGTTTATTCGCTTTGATAAAAAAATGAGAGAAGTCAACGTCTTCCAAACGATAAATTTGCTTTAGTAACAGCAATATGGGATAGAKTCATCAAAAATAGTATGCAATACCACAAACCATTACAAAATATTATAATAGACGAACAACTTTTGTCAACAAAAGCCAGATGCAGATTCACCCAATATTTGCTGAATAAATCCGTCAAGTTTGGGATAAAATTTTGGCTGGCATCTGATGTTCAAACTAAGTACCTACTTATATTGTGAATGGGTTTTCTTATTTGGGAAAAGATGAGACAAAAGTAAGATCACATCCTCTAAGTAAGTCTGTTGTGATACAACTTATCGGACCTTTCACTAGGAAGGGAAGAAATATAAGAACTGATAGCTTTTTCACAAGTTTACCGCTAGCATCTAAATTGCTAGCCAAAAAAACAACACTGATTGGCACTATACGCGGAAACAAAAGGCAAATGCCTAAAATTTGTAACACAAAGAAGGATACTTTGGTTCGATTTTCTTCATTACTGTATAAATCAAGTGGGTACGTTGTTACAATCTACAAAAGTAAGCCGAAAAAAAAAGTTTTTATATTGAGTTCAAAACATAAATCCGTCAGAGTTCATAAAAGTAACAAGCTATTACCTGAAACAGTTGAGTTTAATAATAAAACTAAGTTTAACGTAGATATTACAGACCAAATGGCAGAGAAATATAGCGTAAAATTAGGATCAAGAATATGGCCACTCCAAGTATTTTAGACTTAGCGGCCATAAATGCCTGGATCCTATATAGAGAAACAACAGGTGAAAAGATAACCAGAAAATATTTTCTTTTTTAATTAGCAGATGAACTTTACGAAGAAGAAGATGAACTTTAAATTGAAGATACCGAGAAAAATGTTAAACCATAAATGGAATCACGAGAAACTATTGTACCTACAACTTCAAAGACCTTACTTTGTTCACGCAGATGGTGTCAAATTGGGTACCGTAATAATAATAAAACTAGCAGCATTTGTAATACGTGTAATAATTTTGTAAGTGGAAAATGCTCTCAAAAGAAAATCTATGTTTATAAGAAATGTGACAAATTATAAATACACCAAATAATTTACCTTGTACTATAAAATAAACTTAAATTTAATATGAGAATACATTTAAATTATTTTAAATTGAATCATATTTTCTTTATTATACTTATTATTCTTATTATTGTTTAAGTGATGAAAGGTAAGAATATTCTACGAAAACATCATAGCAGGAACTGCTTGGATAGGAGTTCATTATGCTCCTTAACTGGGAGCATAAGCGTCTTACTATGTAGGTGTTCGATGAGAGACATCAAGAGACATCCCGTCGTGGTCCGGAGTGCTGTATTCTGGCAGGTCTGTAGGTTCCTCATCTGCGTGCCACTGCATCCAGGCGACCATATGGGTGCTGCATAGTTAAGGACCGGCCGGCCGATTGCCTTGTAAGTTGCCAACAACGTTTCTTTGTCTTTGACTTGAAGATTTGGTTGCGGCTCTGTACTTTGGCGATAATCGTGGTCGTATGTGGAGAGAAGGMGCATAGACTGTCGAAGGTGACTGGTGGTTGCGGGAGTTTCGAGATGTAGAAGTTAAACAGTAGCGGGGAGAGGACACCACCCTGCGAAACCCCTTGTTTAATTCTTCTCAGTTTAGATGTTGCACCTCGAAATAGTACGGACGACTGACGACCGTTCAGATAGTTCATGGTCCACCCCTTGAGCCCTGGAGGAAGCGTGGTTTTCTCAATGTCCTGTAGTAGCGTTGTGTGGTTGACCGTGTCAAAAGCTAAGTMCAACGCTACGAGGATCGTTCTCTCACACGGTGGTTTCTGGTTGAGGCCACGAACTATCTGAGCGTTTATGACGCTAAGTGCTGTGGTGGTACTGTGCACTTTACGGAATCCATGTTGGTGGCTGGCAAGGCTCAGGTGGTGACTGAAGGTCAGGAGTAACAAGGCTYCAAGTGTCTTCACTACTGGGGCGAGGAGAGTTATCGGACGATAAGATTCCYCTTTATTGGCGGGTTTCCCAGGTTTCAGTAGTGGGACCACTCTCCGACTTTCCACACATCGGGTATTTGAAGAGCGGTCAGCGACAGGTTKAGGACCTTGGTRAGATATCTTACTCCYGTCGAGCCTAGATGCTTTAGCATTAGCATGTTGATTCCATCAGGGCCAATAGATTTGGGAGATTTGTTGATGACTTCCTGAACCTCCTCATCGGTGAAAGTAAGTGGCGCGCCGTCGTTTGGCATTTTGCGCAGCCGTCGGTTAATACATCGTTTGGTTTGTTTACCGCAGGGTGCAGTGTGAACTGCCAGTTAAAATAGCTCTCGCACTTCTTCGGGTCCGAAGARGCRTGACCATTGAATTGAACTTCAACTCGGTCGTCGTGACTCTTCGGGTAAGCAAAGCTTTGACAGTAGCCCAAAGTTTACTCACACCGGTGGAGAGSTTGCAGGACTTCAGGWGCTCTATCCATTTCGTCCGCTTATGCTGGTTTACCATACGCCGAATCTCCAAATTGAGATTCCTTATTCSGGGATCCCCGGGATCRGCATGGCATAAGGTGTCGCGCTCATTAGCTTAAACGGCTGTTTCGGCTGGGAAGTTGGGGCGAATTTCCGCTATTCGTCCAGCTGAATGAAGCGAGCGGTAGCTGTTGCGATAACCTTGCGGAACTGACCTTCGTCAACGCATACGTCCGTAGGAATGGGTAGAGCGTTGAAGGTGCTCTCAGTAAATTCTGTGAAGCCGACCCAGTTAGTTTTGTTAAAGTTAACGTACTGCGGTTGTCCACAGAAACGAAATCGGCAGGTTTCTTGATCGAGATAATTATGGGCAGATGGTCTGATGCGAGAGTTAGCATAGGTCGCCAAGTTATGCTATTTATCAGACCACCACTAGGGATTGTAATATCGGGCGAGCT